AAATGTCTCCCATTGACACATTGAACAAGACTCTTCATGTTTGGTGATTAATAACGCCTTGGAGTGGCACATCCAATCGGATTCCTCAGGGTATATTGCTTCACCCTGTCCTTAAGATGTTAGGAGAGATTTGGTTGTGGCTAAAATTCATTTTCATTTGTGCGTGTGTGTTAATCAGGGTTCTCCAGAGAAACCAAACCAATAGGATGTATTTATGTATAGAGAGAGAGATAGATAGATGAGATAGATGATAGATAAATGATGATGATGATAGATAGATGATGATGATGATAAATAGACAGATGATGATGATGATAGATGATGATAGACAGATGATAGATAGATAGATAGATAGAAAGATAAAAAGATATTAATTATAAGGAATTTGCTCACACAATTATGAAGACTGGTCACTGCCTAGATCTGCAGGATGACCAGGCAAACTGGAGAACTAGTTGAGCCAATGGTGTAAGTTCTAGTCTGAAGGCCCTCAGGCTCAAGCCCCAGGAAGAGCTGATGTTTCAGTTTGAGTCTGAAGGCAAGAAGAATTACTTTTTCCTCGGGGGAGGGTCGGCCTTTTTGCTGACCCTCAGTTCTTCAATGGACTGGATGAGGCCGACCCACATTAGGGAGGGAAATATGGTCTACTCAGTTCACCAATTTAAATGTTCATCTCATCCGAGAACATTCTCCTAGAGATACCGAGAATAAATGTTTGACTAATGATCTCAGCACCTCGTGGCCCAGGCAAGTTGACATACAACATTAACCATCATTTTATGACATGGACTCAAGCAAGTAGTCTACTAAACGTATCACGAAGCAGAATAGCTGGGTGTGACTTCCTCCAAGTGAATACAGAAACAGTCCAAAGTCCTCAGAAACTCGTTACAACGTAATTCAAGAATTCTGCTGGGACCCAGCATAAAATCCAACAATCTGTAGTTTATTGAATCTACCTTCTTCATGTTCACCTCTCCTTTTTAGGAATTTGAAACAGTATTTTCTTTTTAAAAACTTTTTGATTGAGGTGCCACATATACAATATAACGCAGGAATCCTGAGTGTACATCTAGGTGGAATTTTCCATATACGCCCTTCTGTAAATATCACCCAGATTCAGATAGAGCACGTTTTCATCAACCCAGAAATCTGTCCAGTGTCCACTGCCATGCAATCCCAAAATTGCTGAACTATTGACTATTCCAGCCCCCACAGCATGGACTAGTTTTGCTGGCCCTTCAACTTCATATGAAAGGAGCCATACAGTATGTAGTGTTGGTACCTGGTTCAATGTAACTCCATGAGATTTATCCATGTCCTTTTCCCAGTAATTCTAGGTTCATCCAGTAGTTCTTGTCTTTTCACTGCCTTGAAATACTTCTGAGTATGAAAATAGATTACTGTATTTACCCCCTCTCTGTTGATGAGCATTTGGTTATCTTTAGTTCTTGGCTATAATGATTAGTGATTCGGCAAATACTTTTGTGCACATGTCTTTATGTGGAAAAGACGCCTGTTACTGTTGGGTGTCTCTCTAGCAGTGGAATTGCTGGCACTCACCAGCCATGCATGAGAGACGGGACATTTTCCTTAGCTTGAGTCTTTTAGGGTATGTTGAATTTTTCTCAGATGACTAAAAGTGCTCAGGTATATCTGGAGAGAGGAGGAAGTGTTGGGATGGTCAGAGAAGTCTTCAGATGCGATAATACTTGGATATCTACATCATCTTTACATTTACACCTACATCTAATCTGTGTCTATATCGGCATCGATATCTATTTCCATATCTGTAACTATATCTATGTCTACATTTATATCTGTATCTGTATTGATTTATACCTGGCACCAAATATGTCCTGGAAAGGTAGTGGAACAAGAAGGTGAGAATGGAAATGGGAGGGTGCTAATTAAAATCCTCCTGAGAGAATTCCACTCAGTATTAAAATAGCTCCTGAAAATCCATGATCTGATTAAGTGAATATATTAATGCTGAATGCCGTTATACCTTCTCATCCTGGAACATGGAGCTGCATAAGTGAGATGCCTTTTATTCTTTTAAAACTATCACCCCCTTACCCCCAACATTGCACCCCCTGTTTCTTTTGAGATACCATAAGATGGGTAGGATCATCAAGATGACAATGATAATTTCCATGACAGAAAAGAAGTATACAACTCTGTTATTTAAATTACACTCAAAGGGGAATTTGAGGGCTGTGAATGACAGGAGAACCAGGCCCTATGCATGCAGGGAGAGATGTGGAACATGTGCCTGCTTAGAAGCCCGAATTATAAAGGCTGGCTGGCGATGCAAATGGCCCCATTTCCACAACTGCTCTCGCAATGAATTATTAAGGACCTTCTAAGGTCTGGATGCTTACCCAGAGTGTTCCCCTTAAATCTGAAAGCTCTGTTATTTTGTAATCACTGATTTGATATTCTGTGTGCAGAGGCTGCTGATTATAGAGACTCTCCCATCTTCATGAGGCCCGGGTTCATCTCAGTAGGGGTTTTGCTGCAGGTTCGAATTAAGCAGTAGTTAATGGAAATTTGGAGAGTAACGTTGTCAGCACTATTTAATTTTTGTATTTCTCACAGTGTTGAGGGCTGTTAGGAACAATGACATCACCAACCCATCTTACCATCAATTTATTGAAATGCCAAAGAGAGGAATCTGCTGCAAAGCTCACGTTCCCGGTCTGACACCGGTAATAAAGAAAGGACCAGTTGAAGAGCGTCGTCTACTTGTAGGTTGAGAAGGTGGTTAATGGAGAGCCACTCTTATCAATAGTGATCTCTCCCCACCGGCATCTGGCAGATTCCAGAACTCCCTAAATTAGAGCTGCTATTTTGGGTTGAGGCATTGTTTCAGGGAAGGCTACTTAAAAATGCAAGACATCGGTTTTCTTAGAAGCGAGTGCCCCGTGAGAGGGATCGGAATATAGGACAGTGCGGTTTAACGCAGGGACAGAAATATGCAGACTACAGAAAGATACGGGAACCATTGGGAGAGAGCCGTACACTGACAGGAGAAGAATTGGAGAGGCATTAACAGCATCAGACGCCCCCTTCACAGCTGCTCTCCTGTGCTCGTCAAGCAATTTTGAGGGCCCTTTCAGCAGTGAAGACTATAGAATCAGTAGCAGATTAGGGTTCCAGTTCCAGCTCCATTTCTTAGTAACAGGCCATTTAAGTTATTAGAGCGATGATTTCTCTATCTATATAACAATAAGGTGGCTAGAACCGTATAATTACAACCGTGGTTTTACTCTAGGAAACGGGAACACAATGCATATACTCTTTCTTAAAAGCTACTGCAAGATGTTCTTCAGGAGAAGGATGGAGTGTATCAACAAAAGAGAAGCAAACCTTTTGTTGGAGATGTAGAAGCAAGAAATTGGGAAATTCAACATAGGAGAAAGACAAAGGGAGTGGTCAGGGTGACAGCTGTGTGCCACGCTCAGCAGGCAATCAGGCCATATAGGAGGTGGGGGTGGAGAGATGCTAGAGGGATGGGTCCAGGAAGAAAGAGGGGGACCAGTAAACAGAGGGTTTAGGAGTTAGAGGAACTGATTAATTGAAAGGCACATGCCAGACCTTTTGGAACATTTAGAATTAAAGAGTTTTAGACACTAAGTAAATTATATCTTAAAAGAAGGCAATTAATAACTCCAGGAAAAAGAAAAGAAAGAAGACATAATCATCGTAGCCGCTGGGTCATCTGTAAATAGTATTTATATGACCGAGGAAACAGTGATGATTCCGTAAACCAAAAATTGTGATCTAAACCTATAAATAGCTTTCTGGGAGAGAAAGCACACTCATGTATTGTTGGAGAGGCAGCCAAGAGACCAATTCTTCAATAACCATAAGGTGGGAAAATGGTAAATCTTGAAATTGTGATATTAGCATATTATCTAGGAATGGATTGTAAATACGAAAACAAACATTTAAAGGGGTGAAAGTGATTAGAGACTGGCAGGGGGAAGGTTTGGGACGGGGGAATTATTTTTTTTTAACTATAAGTTTTTTAAAAAAATAATATTTCCTTTTAAAAAATGTATTTAAAATTTAAGACCAATTGGAAAAGAAAAAGGTGCAGGTTTTCCTTTCCAGGCAGAGACGCCCTCCCTTCTTTGATCTTACTTTTCTCTGGGGAGAGTGTGGCAGAATTTGGTGCCACAGGTATACTTCGGGGTATGGACAGCAGTGTGCATGTGAGCAAGGCAGTTTTTGCTTCTTATCCTTGGAGGGTTATTGTGAGGATGAAATGAAATAACCCACGCGGTAATGCCCACCATTTGCATGGCACGTGCAGAATCTCAGGAAATCTTAGTTCTCTGGAGATTTCTCCAGGCACCTTTTTGCGGATTCTGACAATGAGGGATGGATGCAGTAGCGGTATCCAGAAGAATCAAAAGTCAGGTGCGTTCACCTCTTCTTAGATACAGTGAGAGTGCCTTGATTTCCCTCTCCTGGAGCAGATGGAGATGGTGGAAGTCCCAAAGACGCACGTTTTCAGAACTGTATGGTAAAAGGAACACGCTACCCACTTAGAAATGCCACTTTCAGCAAACAAAATTCCTAGTAAATTTGCATTTCAGACAAACAGCAGACAATTCTTTAGTATAGGTATATTGGATGCAATATTTTGGGGCATATGTTTATTTAAAAAAATTATTTGTTGTTTATCTGAAATTCAAATTCACTGGGAATTCTGTATTTTATCTGGCAACCGTACAGATTGCTGAACTTGCAGTTGTGATTTCCCTATTTGAAAAGTTTTTTGTCTGGCTATGGAATTGAATTGCCATTTACAGATACTCATTACTGAGAAGGAGAAGGAGGGTGCTGCTTTGGATGACAGGGCGTGGCTGTCAATCCCAAGTAAAATTCAGTGGTCCGGAATACACTATCCACGCACTTCCCTCTCTGTTTACAGTAAGAGATCCCTTAACTGGATGGGTTTAGCAGAATAATTTCTGAGTACTGAGGGCTGGTTGCTCCTTTCCCTAAAACACTGGTGTTCAATGGGGAGCATGTATGAAATGGTAGTACGTTTATCATGTATGAAATGGGTAGTACAGTGAGGTCAGTTTGAGTCCATTTTGCAATCCCAATGATGTGGGTTGAATAGGTTTCCTTCCAAACTTTGTGTCCAGTCTGAATTCTCAGCATGCAACCTTATTTGGAAGTAAAATCTTTGTAGGTGTCATTAGTTAAGGATCTTGAGACATGTCCGTCCAGGATTTGGGGCGGGTCTTGAATCCAATGACTGGTGTTTTTATAAGAGAAAAGAGAGGCAGCTTTAAACACAGAGACATACACAGAAGAAGCCATGTGACGACGGAGGCAGAGATGGGAGTGATGTGTCCACAAGCCAAGGGACGCCTGGAGCCCCCAGAAGCTGGAAGAGGCAGGAAGGACCCTCCCTTAGAGCCTCTGGAGGGAGCGCAGTTCTACTGACACCTGATCTCAGACTTCTTGTCTCCAGGACTGGGAGAGCATAAACTTCTGCTGTTCATGCCACCCTGTTTGTGGTCATTGATTACCGCAGCCCCAGGCAACTAATACTCCAGATCAGAAGCACAAAACAAACAGATGCAAGCTTTCAACACAGTTGGAATTTGGGAACACATGCCATTTTAGAGGTAAAGGCATATTAACTGGTTCCTTCATAGTACTGGTTTGGGGAATGTATTAACCTAAGCTTCTAGGACGCAATCAATTCTTAGTTCAACTCTAAATGGGGTATAAGCCAATTTTATCCTATCAATAAAATGCAGGCAATTACTAGCTCGTTATATTGATTTAATATGTGCTTTTATGGAAATATAAAATGTAGGTGCACTCACATAGTTATTAGGCATGTAGGAACCTTAATCGGCAATCATTTGCTACTAGCATTTGACTTTCAATGCAACATGAATTATTTGGTGATATAATAAATGCAGCTCGGAATAGTGGTTTTGAAACTATAGTTGATGCTCACTGTATGTCCTTCAAAACATATTTTGGGGTTGATGGAGGAGAGAAAGTAATTTTTATGGACTCTGTGCTTGATCAACCTTATTGATTTTCAAAGGGCTGAGTGACCCGCTGTGGAAGAGAGAGTTGATTTACAGCTGGACAGGATGAGCTCTATCTATCCCTGGGGACTCCTGGAGGTCTGGTCTTTGATCCATGGCCAAGATAAGGACAGTGGGATTTATGGTGTGCTGTTTAATGTCTGAAACAACCCAGAAACATTGCAGTGTCTCTTTCTATACTGATGGTTTGTGACTGGCCTAACCAGTTGTGAAGTCAGTCTGGCTTGACTGCCTGTCCACAATGTAGCAACATCTGCTTTGAGCTCTCCTGAAAAAGCCAAGATTCTTCACATAGATCTTGATGGTTCAGCTCCTGTATAAATAAGAAGGCTGGGGGACTTGTGCAAGGAATGTTTCTGGACTCCAGTGCCGGCCTGCACATGCTCTCTCTCTTTGTTTCTTGCTGCACTATATCCTTTGCTTTTAAATACAAGCTCTGTCATTTCACATCCACCAGGATGGGTGTTATCAAAAAGACAGCAAATAACAAGTGTTGGTGAGGATGTGGAGAATTTGGAGCCCTTGTGCATTGCTGGTGGCAATGTAAAATGGCGCAGTTGCCGTGGAACACAGTATGGTTTTTCCAAGTATCTAACATAGAATCTCTATACGATCCAGCAATTCCACTTCTGGGTATATGCCCAAAAGAGTGAAAGCAGGATCTCAAAGAGATATTTGCATTCTTCACAGTCGTCAAGAGGTGAAAGCAACCCAAGTGTCCATCAACAGATGCATGGATAAATGGTATGCGTTATGTACCGCGAATGGGATATTATTCAGCCTTAAAAAGGAAGGAAATTCTGACACACCATACAACATGGATGGACCTTGAGGACATTACGCTGAGTGAAATAAGCCTTCCCCCAGAAGACAAGTATTGTGTGATTCTATTTGTATGTGGTCCCTAGAGTAGTCACATTCACAGAGACAGAAAGTAGAATGGGAGGTGCCAGGGGTTAGGGGGAGGAGAGAATGGGGAGTTGTTGTTTGATGGGGACAGAGTTTCGGTTGGGGAAGATGAACAAGTTCTGTGTCTGCATGGTGGCGAGGGGTGCACAACAATGTGAAGGCGCTTAATGCCGCTGAATGGTGCACTTAAAAAAGGTGGACTGCAGGGGCCTGCCCGGTGGCGCAGCGGTTAAGTTTGCAAGTTCCGCTTCGGGTGCCCGGGGTTTGTCGGTTCAGATCCCGCGTGCGGACATGGCACCACTTGTCAAGCCATGCTGTGGTAGGCATCCCACATATAAGTAGAGGAAGATGGGCACGGGTTTTAGCTCAGGGCCAGTCTTTCTCAGCAAAAAGAGGAGGACTGGCAGCAGATGTTAGCTCAGGACTAATCTTCCTCAAAAAAAAAGAAAGAAAAAAAAGGTTGACTGTAAATTGTATGTTCTGTGTATTTTACCTCAAAAATAAATAAATAAATAGTAGTAAGTAAGTAAATAAATGAATAAATAAAAGCTCTACATGAGTATGCTCTGTGGATTCTGGTGATGCTCTTTCACGTACAGAATTTGGGAAATTTTTGCATCCACCCTTAAACAACTTGTCACCGAAGTGGATCCTTTATATTTGTTTGACAACTGCGGGTTACTCTACTCCCTGTTGTGAAGTTTTGAACTTTTCTTTAAGTCTGTTTGTTACGTTAAGTACATATTGTTATGAATTATACACATATATATCTATACATGGATATATATACTATGTACAATGTATACATATATTACATATTGTATTGCGTTCATCTATATACAACTGTAACAGTTATCTAACTATATATTATTTATTATATTAATTATATAACTGCGCTATATTACTACTAAACACAATACTATTGCTTTGAGAACTTCAGGGAATGCAAATCTACATAATTAAGTCACTAGATATTTTCATTAGTTTGAACAAATGAAATATGAGGTTAATACCATATTTTCCTAAGGAATTCAGAGAAATCACATATTTTGCAAAATACCACAAGCTTACCTCATTATTTAATATTTCAAGTTCCTGTAATTTCTTTTTCTCTTTGTTTCCATATTACTGTGAAATTTACATTTTGCACATACTTTTAACATTTTTTTCATTTATTTGTTTATTTTCGGACCTACATTATAATATATTTTGAGTTCTGTGCAGATTACATCATGTTCACCACCCGAAAACTAATTATAGTCCATCCCCTCACATGGGAGCCTGATCACCCCTTTTTCCCTCCCCCCTTTCCCTGTGGTAACCACCAGTCCAATCTCCAATGCTATGTGTTTGTTTGTTGTTGTTTTTATCTTCTACTTATGATTGAGATCATACAGTATTTGACTTTCTCCCTCCGACTTATTTCACTCAGCATAATACCCTCAGGGTCCATCCATGTTGTCACAAATGGCTGGATTTCATCATTTCTTATGGCTGAGTAGTAGTCCATCGTGTGTAAATACCACATCTTCTCTATCCATTGGTCCCTTGATGGGCACCTAGGTTGCTTCCATGTCTTGGCTATTGTGTATAATGCTGCCATGAACATAGGGGTGCATGTATCTTTATGCCTTTGTGTTTTCAAGTTCTTTGGATAAATACCCAGCAGTGGGATAGCTGGATCATGTGGTAGATCTATCCTTAATTTTCTGAGGATACTCCATACTGCTTTCCATAGTGGCTGAACCAGTTTACACTCCCATCAGCAGTGTACAAGGGTTCCCTTCTCTCCACACCCTCTCCAACATTTGTTGTTTCCTGTCTTGTTAATTATAGCCATTCTGACCAGAGTGAGGTGATACCTCATTGTAGTTTTGATTTGCCTTTCCCTGATAGCTAATGATGTTGAGCATCTTTTCATGTGCCTGTTGGCCATCCGTATATCTTCTTTGGAGAAATCTCTGTTCAGATCTTTTGCCCATTTTCTAATTGGATTGTTGGTTTTTTTGTTGTTGAGCTGTATGAGTTCTTTGTGTATTTTGGATATTAACCCCTTATCTGATATGTGATTTGCAAATATCTTCTCCCAATTGTTAGGTTGTCTTTTCGTTTTCTTGATGATTTCCTTTGCCATGCAGAAGCTTTTTAGTTTGATGTAGTCCCATTTGTTCATTTTTCCTTTTGTTTCCCTTGCCCGGTCAGACATGGGACTTGAAAATATGCTGCTCAGACGGATATCAAAGAGCGTACTGCCTATGTTTTCTTCTAGAATTTTCATGGTTTCGGGTCTTAGATTCAAGTCTTTAATCCATTTTGAGTTGATTTTTGTGCATGGTGTAAGGGAATGGTCTACACTTTTAACGTTTTTTAAGCGACAGAACTTTTTGCAGTAAAAATTAAAATGCAGATTCCCTCACAAATTTGTGAAAAGGCATAACCCTACAGTGATGTGAAAAAGTTTTGCTTCAAAACTTAACTGAATACGCATTGGCTTACAATCACACCTAAAATGCTTTCTCCCGTTTTGCAAGGAAAACACACGCGCCCGCACACACACATAGATAGCTTTTTAACAGAAGATGCTTTTGGTTGCAAATAACAGAAACATTTGACTTGCAGTAGCTTAAGAATAGCAATGCACTTTAAAAATTTTCCAGGTATTTTCTTTACTCATCAGGAGACGTGGAGGTAAAAGTTTGCTCTTATGTGTGCAGAAACCTAACGGGGTCTAGGGTGATGTCTTTGCGTCCCCCTTGGCCTTGTTCTCAGGGTCACAGGTGGGCTGCTCTAGCTCAGGAACACTCAAGGCAGGAAGAAAGGGAGAAGGAGAGAGCTCGCTCCTTATGACCTGTATCAGCTATGAAGGAAAGCAAGTATTTCTCAGAAGCCCCAGCAAGGGCGCGCACACCTCTCTGTTAGTCAGCTCAGGCTGCCATGACAAAAGACTCTAGACTGGGGGGGCTTAAACAACAGACATTTCTCACAGTTCTGGAAGCTGGATGTCCAGGATCAAGGTGCCAGCAGGTTCTGTGTCTGGGGAGAGCTGTCATCTTGCTTCATAGATGACTGTCTTCTTGCTGTGACCTCACGTGGTGGAGAGACCGAGAGAGCTCTGGTCTCTTCCTCTTCTTATAAGGGTACTAATCCCATCGTGGGGGCTCCACCGTCATGACCTCCTCTAACCCTTATCACCTCCCAAAGACCCCACTTCCTCATACCATCCCATTGGGGGTTATGACTTCCCATTAGGGGTTAGCACCCAAGAGTGGGAATGGATCCATCGCCCAGACTCTATAGTAATGGGGGTGATGACAGGGTCTGGACCAGTGGGTGAGACCAGGATGGAAATCTGCAGAAGAGGCAAGTTTTCTTTTAATTTGCGGAAAGCAAGATACTTTTAAATGTAATGCATTTTTAAAATGGTTTAGGTATTTCATTTATGCAAATGAATTTCATTTATACAAATTTGCCTCAGATTTCATTTAGACAAATTTGCCTATTCCTTTGTATATTGAAAAAATATTTGAAATTTTAAGTCCACTGTATTTTCTGGTAAGTCCCAGTTCAGTATTCTTTGGTACGTTTTTACGGTAGAAACGTCACACGTTAGGCACTTGGAGCAAGTCAGGTGTCAGCATTTTTTTTTTTTACATCTGTCTGTAAACTCATGGCAAGCATTTCAAGAGACCCCATTATTAAAACAACAAGAAGCAACTGAATGGTCAGCAAAAGCTTTCTCAATGGATTTGGCATAGCTCTGAGCAGTGCAGACTTTTGTCTGCACGTAAGGTCTGCTTTGAAAGTTGTAATTGCTTTTCAGACATTCTTATGAAGAAAGTCAGGTGTCTTTATGTAGTGAAGTCACACGCGATAGTGGGTCTGCTAATGATTGAGAAGAGTGGTTGCGAGTGGCTTGGTGGAAGAAGGTTTCTTAATGTCGAGCCTTGAAAGTTTGGAGTTAGATGGGGACTTGGGAATATATTTCTAAATAAGGTTTCCCTGTGGATTCCTCTAAGCTTCTCCAGTCTGTAGCCCAGAGCTTTCTGAAGACTGTAGTAATATAAATGTTCTACTGGCCAATAGAGCTAAGATGAATGCTCCTGTAATAAAAGCTTGGAACCCTCTGCTCCCTGGCATCACTCGTTACCTCTCCTATGGGATGGGAAATCACAGAACTGGAGCATCGTGATGCCGGGGAGCTCTCTCCCAGTGGACTGAAGAGGAGAGGTCATTATCAACGGGAGCACAGACTGTTCCCAAGAAGGACTGGCTGAAGCTTGTTCTCAAACTGCAGCTTAATTATGAGTGAACTGTAGTGATGGCCAGCAAAGCTGCCTGTGTGGCTGCATGTGGAGTCGATCTTGGTGAGCAAAGGGTGTGAGCTCACCACGACTTTCAGAGGGAGATGGACAGAGACCCAGGCAAAGGAGGTTGCTAAATGCTGTGCAGTGTCGCTATGTCATTGGTATGGAGAAAATGGCTGGTCAGTCTCCCTCAATCCATTCATTGGTTCTTGATTCGTTGATTCTATCAAGGAGTCACCAGATATTTATTTAACATATACTATGTGCTCAATCCTGTGCAAAGCCCTGGGATGTAAACGTGAAGAGAAAGCACTTGATCCCTTTACTCTTACTGCTTATTGGCTACCAGGGAGACAGACTTTGAACAGAAAACTGACTAATAATTAACGACAATTGTGATAAATGATGGCAAGGAAAACTTCAGGTGTAGGACAGCCCGTGACAGAGTAAAGTCAAGCTAATGGAGACAGTCATGCCACCTGTCCCGAGGAAATGATATGGAAGGAGAGTTCTGAGGATGAGTAGGATGCGCCTTCGGGAGGAGAGTTCAAGACCTGGAGACTAAATATCAAAAAGACTGAGAGAGAAGGAGCTGGGACATTGAGGAGTTGCAGGAAGACCAAAGTGGCTGCTGTTGAGAGAGGTGAAGTAGTAAATGTGTGATGAGAGCTGGAGGCACGGGTCAGATTCTGCACGGATGTATGGATCATGCGAGTCGTTGGAGGGAGAGAAGGAGAGCTGGCATTTTAAGACCACGCTGAGTGGAGAAGGGATGAACAGGGCAAGCAAGGAAGCGGGGGCATACCCTGGGCTGCCTGGGAGGTGGTGGAGAGAAGCAGCTCAGCACGAGAGCGATTTAGGGGGGAGAACAAACAGGAACTGATGTTGAATGAAAGGTAGGAACTGAAGGGATGGAGTTAGAGTGTGACCACAGAGATTCCGCTTGAGCAATGGAGGAAGCTGGAGCTCACCGAGCTGGGAGCCGTGGCAGGAGAGACTGTCTTCAAGGGGGACATTCAGTTTTAAATGTTATCTGGGATCAGCAAAGATGCCTAAGCATCATCTTAATCGAGATGTCACTCAGTTATGAGATTGTGGGTGACTAGTATTGTTTCATATACTGATCTCTGTTGTAAGAAAATTTTAAAAACCTTGTCATGGTGTAGAATGGAATGTGGATGTAAAGTTCCCCTGGTGCATCTCTGGGAGATCTTATAGGTACATTGGGAACCAGGAATGCTGTAGAATGGGATTCCTCCATGTGGGTCTGTCCAGACCATGGCATGCCCCATGGCAGAGCTGGAAATCTGGGAATAATTTATCTAACTGGCTAGCAAATATTTATTTAGAGTTTACTCTTGGTCAGGAAAGAGTGTGTGTGTGTAGTTTTTAAATATCTTATCTTTGCTGCTGGATATTCAAGGCTGCTTCTTGAGTTTTTATCTTTCTCCCATTATAGGCGATGTTGCAGCGAACATCCTGGCACCACTGTTTTTCCTCAGTGAGTGCGCGGAAGCAAATATTCAGAAGTGAAAATGCCAGGAAGAAGGCTATGCAATTTTGATAGATTTTTGTCAACTAGCTTGCCAAAGTTTGGAACATGTTACATTTCCAACAACAGTGCCTGAGAGTGGATACTCAATCCTACCATTATCTGGATTTATTTCTATAGTTAATTATTTTATTTGTATTTGTCTTGCCTTTCCATCTCTCTCTGTCTCTCTCTCTGTTTTGGCCTGCTTTTAGTTTAATTATTTATTCTAAGTGTGTTTTGTTTATATCTAATAATGTGATAGTCAGACACTATATTTTAATTTTTTAAAGAAATGTAAGCCTGAATCCTTTATATACTTAATTAACTTATTATGAGATCCAAAGGTAATCATATTTACCTTCTGAAAATAGAAAATAGAGGGATCTTGGAATTCAGTAAATGCAAACATCCATTCCTGATTTTCACAATATTTTTGTTCTGTATTCTGGTTTGATTTTGTTTTTGAGGCCCCAGCAGACATGATTCTGAAGGTCATTTATTTATCCAAGTTATAGTCTCTGGATATTTAGTGCTTTCTTTACTCATTATCGAGGGTCACTTTCCTTCAATTTATTTATTTTTTATTTTTTTGCATTGTTTGTGAACAATGTTGTATTGGATTTGTTATTGTTACTTTTAAGTGAGTAAAATACGTGTATATATATATATATATATATATATATATATATATATATTTGGTGAGGGAGATTGTCCCTGAGCTAACATCTGTGCCAATCTTCCTCTATTTTGTATGTGGGATGCCGCCACAGCATGGCTTGATGAGCCGTGTGTAGATCTGCACCCGGGATTGGAACCCGTGAACCCTGGGCCACTGAAGCGGAACATGCAAAGTCAACCACTACACCACCAGGCTGACCCCTTTCCTTCAATGTAAAATGCATCATTCAGCATGTCCGTTACTCAATAAAACTGTTAATTTGGTGGGGGGCACACTTCAGGACCAGAGTTCACTCAAGTGAGGGAGTGGGAGGAGGAAGCACCTATGGCAAGATTGTGGAAGAGCGTGGTTTAGCCAGTCTGATGCAAATTCATAAATCAAACAGCCCGTTAGAGAAGTCAGTTGTCATCCCCTCTAATAGCAATTGCCAGAAAGAATAGCCGTGGAATAGTCATTTTTAAAAAATTCCAAGACCAAAGCAATCAGCAGCCCCTCCAATAATTCTTTTGGGTAGCCGTGCTGCCATGCAACATTACCACCAGCTCCACGAGGTAACAGCCATTGACATTCTCCTCCCAAAATATTGTAATTTCACTCCCTTGAAGAACGTTTTCTCTGGCTGTACAATTCCAACTTGACCAAAACTTTATCTTAGCTATTAAACACATCGTTCCACAGCCGTCCAGGTCCTGGCTGTTTCTGTTCTAACTGAAAGTTGAAGCAGCATCAAGTTGAAGGAAGTCTCTGTTTTCTCTCTGGCTTCTTGCATATTTGTTCTTTGCTTTTGGAGTCCTGTGGTTTTACTTTGACGGGATGAGTTATGAGTTCCTTTTTATAGACTAGGCACAGGATTCGTTGAGCGTCCTGAATCTGTGGACTCCACCTGTGGTGGTTCTAGGAAGTTCTCACCATTCTCTCTCCAGCAGGAGAGATCCATCCTCTCCTTCTCCTCTCTTTAGGGAACCTGGTGAGATGTATATGAGACCTGATTCTACCCTCCATATTTCAGAACTCTTTCTTCCATACTTTCTGCTTTTCTCTCTCCTTGTCCTATATTTTGGGTAATTTAATTAGATTGTTGATATATTTTTTCTCTTGTTCAACCTTCTAATTTGTCCAATCAACTATTAAGTCAGTCCAGTGAGTTTTAAACTAAAAGGATTGTATTTTCCATTTCTACACGTTTGGGCTGGTTCTTTTCTCTAATTTCATATACAATCTTGTTCTTACGTGTATCAATTCTTCTATTTCTTAAACATATAAAACATACACATTCTACATCTCAAAATTCCAATGGACGCATTCTTTGTGGATACAATTTTGCTTCCTTCTTTTGGGGCACCTGTTCCTATTTTGGGCAGTTTGTCCATTGGAAAGATTTGGGGGTTTCGGAATGTTATGGGTTCCTCTTGATAAGTTATGTGATTTTGTTTCTACCAGGTTATATACGACCATGAGAATCATGTCTGTTGGGGCTTCAAAAACTAAATCAACCCAAATATATAACAAAAGAAGCATGAGAGAAGTGTGAAAATCAAGAATGGAGTTTTCATTTTCTGAATTCAAGATTCCTCTATTTTCAGAAGGTAAATATAATTAACTTTAGATTTGATAAGTTAATTAGGTTTATTAAGCATGCATGTTTCATATTTCTTTAAAACTGGAGACATTATCAGTCTAAAACTGCTTTAACCTGAATTGCTGGCTTGCGTTTCTCAGACTGCACGGGTAATGCAGGTTTGGGGTGTCGCACCTGTGTGACAGCTGACTTGAGGTGCCATGTTCAGCAGAGAGATGTTTTTCTGTTCTTATCATGCAGATCAAATGAGGAACTGTCACCTTGCAGGGAACAGCTGTTTTCTGTGGCAGATGGGAAGAAGGGATGTGGCCAATGACAATTATCCCTTAAAGCTGCCCCGGAATTGACACGTCTCTTTGCTCCTACCTCTTTGAATGAACTAGTCTCATGCCCATGCTGACTCCAAGGGGCCAAGAGATGCAATCCAACCATCTGACTGGGACGAACCAGGTACAGTTGATTCTCATTATCCACCATTAAGTTCTGTTCAGTTGCTGCCAACACTAAATTGGTGCGTAATAAACCGTGTTCCTAGGGGATGGACAGGGTAAGTTTCCTGAGAGCTTCTGGTCACCACATGTTCATCAACCCATCAACACATAACCTGGTTTTATGTGTGTTTATGTTTAAGGACATTGAATATATATTATATTAAATATTATATATTGTTAATAATAATATATATTGTTAGTTATATTATATATTGTTGGTTCATTAACATTGAGCTCGCAGCCAATGGGTGCTGTAACTCTTGCCTGAAGGAAGCTCATCTAACACGTAATTTCTCTATAAGGTACATGGCAGCCTTCTTGCACTTAGAAACACTAGGCAGCCCTTCAGCACTACACCTGGGGACCATTTTAAACAGAAAAATCACCGCCCAAAAGCACAAAAATGCAAAAGCGTGGCAGTAACTATACCAAGGAAAAGACTGCTGACAGGAGGAGAGCTGAAACAAGAAAGCAGGGCGTCGGTTCCTTCATCCTCAGCTGGGAACTCAAATTTTCTGTGATTGAGCACGAACGTGCTAAGTATTGATTTGGGGGTTACAAATACATCTTGGCCAGTAGGCAAATTTGCAAATATGGAATCTGCAGATAAGAAGAACCGACTGTAAGTCTGAGTAGCATGAAGACCCAGGGCATAAACTATGAATGTTCTGTTATCTTGGATGCAAAATGGTAGCAATTAGCTTTTCCTGCAGAGCAATTCACCCTCCAGTTAGTGGCTTGAAACAATGAGCACTTATTATTTCCTGCAATTGTGTGGGTCAACTGGGAGATCTTTTTTCTGGGAGATCTGTTTCTGTGTGGGATGGGGGAATGTTGTATCAGACTCCTGGGATCGGTGGAAACTGAACCTCAATTCCGTAGGCTCTGCAGTGCCCAGCCCATCCTTCTGACTTCTCACCCTCACTTACAGCTTCAGAATCTGAGTATTCTTTACTAATTTGCCAATTCGCTGATGCACTTTTTAAAAACGTATACGTTGATCTTTTGTTCAGCACTGTTTACAGCTGTTATTGGCAGGATGAAGAAGCCAAGTCCCATAATTTCTTGTTTCTAAGTACTCAATGATCTAAATGGAATTAGGTTATTAAAGTTGTATCCATGTGGACCAAATGAAAAAGATTCCGGGCTATAAATTTCTAAGTGTTTGCTATGGTGGCAGCATTTTGCATGCAAATACTCTTCAAAGACAAGTAGTCAGGGGTTCAGGGGTGGGTTTGTATCAGTAAGAAAATGCCCAGTCGCTAAGGGAACTGCATTTGGAATGTTGGATTTGCAGGTGGTTATTTTCACGTGAATCATGTCAAAAATATTCATCGCAGCGTGGAAAATGTGGTTCAGTGTAACTATAAAGCCGATGATTCTTTCTTGGGGAAAATTATTCTTGGATCGTTGCGTTGGAGAGTGGCTATAGTTTCGTGAATGGCACAGCCTGCTTTTGTGACCACTCTCGCCCTGGTTGGAGAAGTTTTGTATGGAATTGTATGTCCGGGCTTTGATTCACGACTGAAGGATTCCTTTCAATAATCTTAGGAGCCTCTTGTCTGAAAGGGTGGTTCTGCACCGCCCACTGTGTCAGAGGATAATGCAGCCTTGCTCCTAAGGGGAGGCAGGAAGCGAGCAGAGAAGAACATTTAGGCTATTTTATCAAAGAACAAATCATATAACTGCAACCGGCATTCAGAAATGACCTTCTAATCTGAATAAGGAACTCCCTCGAGGCCAGACTATCACAACAAGATTTGGCAGGTAGACTAGCCGTTGGGCATCCGTGAATATGTGGAGCCAGAGGCATGTGAAATGCTTGTCCAGAGAGAATGCCTTGCATTTTGCCTCAGTCATTTCAAAGTAGCGTCCCTTCCTAAAATTTTTAATTGTGGTAAAATAGACATAACACAAAATTTACCATCCTGACCGTTTTTCAGTGTGCCGTTTAGTAGTGCTAAGTACCTTCATGTTATTGTGCAAACATCACCACCATCCACCTCCAGAACTTTCGTCGTCTTGCAACACCAAAACTCTGTCCCCATTACACAGCAACTTCCCATTCTCGCCTCCTCCAGCCCCTAGTAACCATCATTTTTCCTTCTGTCTCTATGAATTTGATCATTCTAGGGACCTCATATACGTGGGATCATACAGTATTTGTCCTTTTGAATCAATTATTTCATTTAGCATAACGTGTTCGAGGTCCGTCCACATTGTAGCATGTGTCAGAATTTCCTTCCTTTTTAAGGCCGAATAGTATTCCATTGTATAGATGGACCGCAGTTTGTTTATCCATTTCCCTCCTTTTAAAGGAAGCTGTTATATGGCATCATAGAGTGGGGGTGATTACTTTCTCTATATTGATAAAGAGGAGCCACATCCACAGCTAATCAAGTCATGGAAAGAACCTAAATACTTCCCTTTACTCCTGGGTTGGGAAGACACAACCCCTGGGGAGAGAAGCCCTCTTTGTCTGATCACAGTTGGTGAAATAAATTAAAAAAGACATTCGGAAGGCACATATAACCCTTTGGGTCTCCCTTCCCTCTCTCCAGACTCTAACTGAGTTGAATTTCACAGTTGAGGAGGCTGGTTTGTTGGAGGCTGGAGATCTGGGTTGTTGATCTGCACACTCGGGCCGGGTAAATCCTGTTCTTCCAGGCTCCCGGGTGACTGACCATGTTCCTCTCCACCCTCCCAGATAAGAATTAGAAGAGCTCAAATTGCACCGTAGTTTCTGGGAACAATGGGATCCAAGAATGTCATCTGGGCCCTGGACTCTGAACTGTCTGGGCTTCCTTGTTTTAATTCGTTGTTCTCCTATCAGAGTTACCTGGAGAAAGAGAATACCATTTGTCTCTGTTTGTTAAGACACCTGGATCGTTTTACGATAAATAGCTCCTAGGCTCTCTGCCTGCAGAACATAGTAGAGTATAGGAGTATTGTCTCCCCTTGTCTCTTTGGCACACGCCTTTGTCATAATACTCACCCCATTTTGCTACAGTTCTCTGTTTATGGATCTGCTGTTCTACCTACACTGTGAGATGGTGAAAGACCATGCTCTTCCTATTTCCAGTGCATGACGCCAGTCTTGAGTGCTGCATATGTTACCTAAGTCTTTGCTGAGTGGAGAATCCCCTCTTCAGCTCCATCCTGCAGGGATTCTCGTTCAGTCAATGTTCCTTTCCAGTGCTCCCTTTTGGGGCCCCAACTCGTCCCTTTATGCTCCCAGGCAGAGATGATCTGGCATCTGATCTCATCTGTTTCACCATCATGCCAATAACCGAGGGATTGTTTTCCTCCTCCATCCAGCTAATTAAAGTCAGTAAAATAAATAACAAATCTGAGCAGTGTCCTGGTTAGGGAGGTGATCTAAAGGCATGAGTGTAATATAGAAATATTTACTTAGGAATGGTTTCTACAAGAAGAGGTGATCAACTGAGAAAGAGAATCAATTATGGCGTCTCTCTCTAGTGATGGAGACCCGACGTAGAGAACGGAATGGTGTTGGTGTGGAGGCAGAAAGGCGTCTTCTGAAGTGCAGTTGGGGCTGAAATGGTTACCTGTCCACCGTGACTCTTCCATGTCTGTCCATGCTCCTCATCTGTTGGGTTGAGTCACTGTGGAGAAATGGCTAAGGCACTAGCATCTATGTGAGCCAGACTCTCACCTCTAACCTGGGCATCGAGATGGGACCATGGGAATGAAGGCTTGCCAACGAAGTGCACATCGAATTCTCACATTTCTCTTCTGGGCCAGGTGGCAAGATAAGAGCATGACTTCTGTTTTTGACTGAGTTGTGTTCCCCCAAAATCCATATTGTTGGAGTCCTAACCCCAGGACCTCAGAATTTGACTGTATTTGGAGATGGTGTTTTTAAAGAGGTGATTAAAGTAAAATGAGGTCATCAGGGCCTGATCCAACAGCACTGGGGTCCTTATGAGAAGTGGAGATGAGGACACAGACACGCACAGAGGGACGACCACGTGAGGACACAGGGAGAAGACACGTCCACACGCCACGGAGAGCGGCCTCAGGAAAAACCAGCCCTGCCCTCACGTGGATCTCAGACGTCAAGCCTCCGGGACGGTAAAACATAAATATCTGTGGTTCTTGGTTATGGCAGCCCTAGCAGGCTAATGCACTTTCTCCATCCTCTCTCCTCTGATTAAATATCCACATCCTGGTGAACTTGGAGGCAAGGGTTACAAATGTCATAGCCACAAAATGGAAGGATGCAGGGTCCCTGAACCAGCTCTTGAGGAGCGTGACCAGCCAACCGGAAACAGCCATTTTGGATTTAACAACAGCTATTTGTTAGCATCACTGAGATTTTGGATTCATTCGTTAAAGCAGCTCAGCATTACCCTAACAGAGTGTGTTCTCCATGCACACAGCGCTCTGCTTTGGTCAAGTGAAGCAAGATCTGGTGACCACGCGTGGCACACCTTTGCCATACATTTCCTGTCAAAACACTTTTTCCCTGTGTCCTGTGAGGGTCGTCTTCTCTGCAGGATGACTACGTCCAGCTGTGGTGCTCGGGACCTTGGTGTTTCTGTCTGATTAACGAGGGTTCCCGTTAAGCTGGAGTTCAGCTGTCTTCACTGCTAGACTTGCTTTGTGAGACTCTCTGAGGTTGTTAATAAGGTAAGATCTTTGGGTCTCAAGACAAAGAGAGAAGATAATTTATTTTCTACAGAGTTTTATTTCCTTAAGCTCTATCTTCCATTACATTGTAGAGGGCGTTTCAGTAAATGATGTATGAAATTAAAAAAAAATCTGTATGATTTCACAGCAAAGGGCATGCATATCTAGAGAACAACTCTGAAATGATGTAGAAAAATAGATATCTATTTTTCTTTCTAAAAATTAAAGGCTTATGCTTTGGATAAATTTATGTTAATTTGCCAAACAAGATGTGGTTATTATGTGCGAGGCATTGTATAGATTCTCTGGTAAATAAAGCATGGATTTATTCTTAAGAAGTGTGCGGTTCTATTATCCAGTAGGGGGAGGAGTCAGTCACTCATTAAGTTTTACAAAGGCAGATGATGGTGTCATCTTGTGAGGTAGTGAGAGCAATGGGAAGGATACAGAAGGAGAAACATGTGGAAAGGGCGAGTGACTATTTTGGTTTTTAAGTGGATACTGTTTAAGACTTCTAAGGCAATTTGGAGCGTGAATTCATTATTAAGGTGTCCTAGGTTGAAGAGTGGCACCTTAAAAGGTATCTCCAAATCCTACCAGAACCTGTGAATGCAAACTTATCTGGAAATAGGGTCTTTGCAGATGATCCTAGTGAAGTAAAGGATCTGAGATGAGGTCATCCTGGATGAAGGTGACCCCAAATCCAGTGACAGTGTCCTGATCAGAGACAGAAGAGAAGACACAGACACAGAGGAGAAGCCACGTGAGGACGGAGGCAGAGACGGGAGGGATGCGGCCCCCAGCCCAGGGACGCCTGGAGCCCCAGAAGCTGGAAGAGGCAGGAGGGACCCTCCCCTGGAGCCTCCGGAGGGAGTGTGGCCCTGTGACCCCTTCATCTCAGACTCCTGGGCTCCAGATTGTGAGAGAGTAAGTTCCTGTTGTCATAAGTCACATGATTTGTGGTCATTTATTACTACAACCCTGCAAAATGAATATATACAGGGGTTGAATTTTATTTTCCAGCCCAAAGTCTTTTCTACGGATAGCTAGACGGTCCTCCTGGACAGTTCTAGCTTTTCCCCTTCATTAGGATTGTAACTCAGTTCATTTCCCCAGTGCTGCTATCTCTATGTTGATTTTATTTGTTTCTTCTTCAATCCTCTGTTCTAAAACAGTGAGCCTTTTTGTTTATTGAGGTCATAGTAGTTTACAACATTGTGAAATTTCAGTTGTGCATTATTGCTTGTCAGTCACCATGTAAATGTGCCCCTTCACCCCATGTGCCCACTCCCCATCCCCTTTTTCTCTGGTAATCACTATTCTGTTCTCTTTGTCCATGTGTTTGTTTATCTTCCACATATGAGTGGAATCATACAGTGTCTGTCTTTCACTGTCTGGCTTATTTCACTTAACATCATACCCTCAAGGTCCATCCATGTTTCTGTGATTGGGATGGTTTTGTCTTTTTTCTTGGCTGAGTAGTATTCTGTTGTATATGTATAGCACATCTTCTTTATCTGTTTGTCATTTGATGGGCACTTGGGTTGCTTCCACATCTTGGCTGTTGTGAACAATGCTGCAATGAACATAGGGGTGCATAAGTCTCTTTGAATTATTGAT